TATCAAAATGCTTCCCAAACTTCTTGGAGACTTTTTTTGCAAGCAACATCTTTATCTTTAATCCCAAACATCAAGCTGGTACTGGATCACTGCTGGAGGAGCACAAGTAGGTCATTTAGGGTTGCCTTGTACCTTGTCACAGACTTTTTCTGGTTTGACCAAGCTATAATGGACAAATAAAAACGATGCATGTGTAACGTGTACAACATGATGTTTCGATACATATATGCATTGTGACAGGATCACCACAGCTGAGCTAATTAACATGCTTGTTGCCCCCCACTTGCCCTGCCATGTGACTAGAATACTTAGGTCTACTCTTAAGTGCTTTCATCAGATTTCACGTAAGTAATACAGTAGTACTAACTGTAATCGCTGTGCTCTATAGTAGCTCCTCAGAACTGACTGAACTTACAATGGACAGTTTGTATCCTTTGGCCCATATATGTTCCCATTTCCTATCCCCCAGCCTCTAGCTACCACTCTTATTTCCACTCATTTTAGGAGACTGACTTTTTAAGGACTCCACATCCCCGAGAGAATACGGTATTTGTATTTTTGTGTTTGACTTATTTCACTTAATGTGGTATTCTCTGGGCTCACCCAGGTTGTCACAAATGCCCTGACTGCCTCTTTTTAAGGCTGCATAGCGTTCCACCGTGTACATATACCACAATTTCCTTTTCCATCCATTCATCAGCGGACACTAGGGTTGTTTCTTTGTCTGGGACATGGTACACAGTGTGGCTGCAAACATGAGCTGCCTGTGTTTCTGGACCGTACTGATATCATTGCCTTTTGACATATACCTGGGGGTGGGATTGCTCGATCATATGGGTGTTCTACCTCTGATCTTTATCTGACCACTTATTTTATAAATGAGGAATTGACCTCATCAAAGTTACATGTTTAGTTGCAATCCATGGATTCATTCTGAATCATGAGCATCTACTATTCTTTTCCCTCATATCCTTCAGGACAATTATCACTGGCTTTGTGGTTGTTATTATGTGTTTTTTCCCTGTTTCTTAAATGAAATAAAGCCCACTCTGTGCTTTATGTGTCCTTCATAATAAATGCAACTTTCTCAATAAATGAAATATTTTAAAATCCAGAAATGGAATCAGCAGACTGGTAGACTACCCTTCCCTGACTACGTAGGGAATGAGTAAGTAAAGCCTACCCTTATACAAATGGAGCTCCATGTTATATTGCACTACCTGCTCAACTCAGTGTTCTCTCTGACAGTCACCGCAACACTGTATTTTCAATTGTAACAATACATTGCTTTCTTGACTTCCAAGAAGGGTTCCATGTCCACCTGTTCTGAATCGCTGCTGGAGGATGGAATCGTCGAGAACATGGGACTTGGTATTAGAGAGGCTAAGGCTTGAGTGCTATTGCTGTGCAGCCAAACTCTGGCAAGATACTCACTCTTTCTAGTTCAATCCAACAAACCTATATGGGTGCTATGTTCCAGGCACTGATTAGGTGCTTCAGCTATCACAGGGAGCAAAACAGTCAGAAATTTCTACCCTTACAGTCTGATAAAGGAAGATAGCCAACAGCTTATTAAGTAGATTATTTGGAGTGTTCCAAAGTGGTAAATGTCAGGAACTAAAGTAAAGCTGATCAGGTTTCTGACACAGGATTGTGAGGAGAGGGTGTAGATTGCAGTATCAAATAGAGTGGGCAGGGTAAGCTGTGTTGGGAAGGTGCCATTTGAGGAAAGAGAAAAGCGAACCGCACACATGGCTATGTATGGGACAGAGCATTACTGATGAGATCCAAGGATGGGGAGTTAGCAATGGAGATGGTACAGGTACTTGAATTCTTTACATATTTTGAGTGGTGAATGAGAAGAAAGAATGATGTTGGGCTGGGGAGATAGCTCAGTAGAATAAGCGCTTGCCTGGCAAGTGCAAGGTCCTGAGTTCAATCCCTGGTACCGCAAAAAAGGAAAAGAAAGAATAATGTCAAGAATGACTCCAAAGTTTTAAAATGAACAACCACAGGTTGGAGACACTTTCTACATCTGAGGAAGGGTATCATTTGGAGCAGGTTTTCATTCTCTCTTCCCTTGGAAAAAAAACTTTTAAAAAGTATAAGTTGGAGAATTATATATTATACATTTTTACCTATTATAAAAGCATATATAGTTGATATGAGGTGATAGTATAGTGATCTACCTATCTATCTGTCTATCTATCTGGTAGATTGAGGATCAAAGACAGGGTCTTGTGCAAGCTAAACAAGCATCGTACTGCTGGACTACAATCCTAGCCCATACAATGCTGCCTTACCTTTTTATTGTGCAGAGACCAAGGACAGTGATTTGGACATATGCAGATGTCTGTTAGAATTCTTTGTGGAGATAATCTTGAATGGAAAATTGGATTCACAAGCTTGAAGTTCAAGGGAGAAATCCATGTTGGAAAAATAAATTTTGAAATCATAGATGTTTAGATGGCCTACAAAATGATGACAACAGGTGAGTCCACCCTACAAGTGATGGAAATAGAGGTGAGATCTGATTCCTGAAACTCCGCCTCAGATAAGAGGTACAACCAGTAAAGAGACTACAGAGTGATCAGTGAAGTTGGAAGACAATCAAGAGTATGGTATTCTGGGTCGGCCAGATATCTCAGTGGACTAAAGTGCCTGCTTAGACAGAGCGCCTCAGCCAGGGTTCGATCCCCAGGCGTGCTGTGCTGGCCCTGCCCCCAGGGCACGCTGAGATGGCGACTGAGACTGGGCTTGATGATGCGCGCCTGTATTCTCAGAGCTTGGGAGGTTGAAAACAGAAAAATCACTACGAGTTCGATCTATGTAGTGACACCCTGTAGATCCTGTGCCAAATATATTTTTTAAAAAGTGTGGTATCTTAAAAATGAAGGGAAAAAAAAACCCAAACCTGGGGCCGGGGAGATGGCTCAGGGGAATAAGCGCTTCCCTGGCAAGAGCAAGGGCCTGAGTTCAATCCCCGGTTCCACAAAAAAACAAAAAGAAAAAAAAAAAACTAAAAATGAAGGGAAACATGAGCACTAAGGAGGTAAGAGGGATTCAGTCTGTTACACTCCTATGGATCAAAATAAATTAAGATAAAAAATTGACCCAAGGATTGGGACTGTAGAGGTGATTGGTGACATGGGAGAACACCTTACAGCTTTCATGGAGTGCTGAAGCAAAGGCTTCATTGAAGTGACTCTAAGAACTGGAAAATATATTGGTTGAAATAATGCAGGCACACAAGCTTGACTGCTGTATGGTATCTCTTATTTGAGTAAGGCAAAGTACAAACAAAAAGCATAATAAAAAATGAATAAAAGGAAATGGAGTGGATCTCTTGCAAATGAGAAGAGGTCCAGGAAACTGAGGGGAGGGAATTGAAGAGGGGAAGGGGAACTAAGTTAGATAAAGGTATGCAACATACAGGAGCCTAATAACCTCAATAACTATACACCATAAAGTTGAGGTAAGACGAATAACATCATGAAAATGAAAAGGGAGAAAGGGGATTTAGAGGAGGATGGAGAGACATAACAGGGAAAGGGAAGGGGATTCAAAAAAAGAAACAAGCTGTACAGTGCACATTCACCCACTTTCCAAGATGATTGCAAACTGTATGCGCTGCAAATATGTCTTGATAAGAAAATGAAAAATTGAAAAAAGAAAGAATGGAAACAGTTATTCAGTGGTGTTTGCTGTGCATGTTTAAAAAACAAAACCATTGTAGTAGCTGGGAGATAAGCCTCAGTCATATATAGAATGATATTACTTGTTTCTTAGGGTTATGGAAAAATTGGAACAGATTCAGTCTAAGTTTTTGAACACTGTTAATATATGCAGTGTGTCTATCACACAGCAGGCACTCAATAAATGATAGTTATTATTTTTAAGATGTGCATTTTATGCTACACTTAGAAGTATTTTCCAAGATCTACCTTTATAAAACCATACAGATTTTCATATCTCAGACCAATTTCTGAGTTGTGTGGAGGAGTTTAAAAAATAAAATTCCCAGAATAAGTTTTGCTGTGCTGCACACCAAACCACGTCTCACACAATGACCTCCAAAGAACACATCATTTGAGTTGCCATCGCATTTGTGTTTTCCAGGATGTAGCAATTATATGTAATTACCAGGGGCCTAGGAAAAAGCTTCTTTCAGAACACAATCCTCTCTCAAAAATGGACAAGCACCTCCATTAGGAAGCATGTCTCTTGAGTGTGATAAGGTCACAAAGTTACCTTCATTTTTTTCCAGTAGGTCCATTATTCTCTCGCTGTCTCTTCCTGCCCTTTCCTCTTCCCCTCCTCTCCACTCCCTTTGCCTCTCTTGTCCCTTGATTGTCAAGGTAAATGTCAAGGAAGGAAACTGACATCTGCGAATTTCTTTTGTCTGATCTAATGCTCCTCCTAAATTTTTTTTAAACAGTGCACCAGCAATATTTTATAAGTCCCAAGTTAGGAAGATAGAACACACCTAAATAGAGTTGAATTATGAAAAACTTAAAAGGTGAAAAGAAGCTAACCTGATACATATAATTGTTTGGGTGCTAGTGCTAATTAATCATAAGTTGTCATGAGAGATTCACATTAGTTATTCTTTTACCCAGCTGAGCCTCATTACATCTTTCCTTTGTTAATTCTCTAGGCACTGATATTTTTATTAATGGCCAGGATGCTTCTCAGAACACCACATTCTACTGTTTATTTACTATTTTTTTTTACTATTTTTGTTTATTCCTTTCTCTTTCCAAGCCACAGGTGCTCCTTTCTAAAAGACATACTTCTATCATATTTTCAGGGACCTACCTCCCCATCAACTATTCCTTCTCTCATCGTCCAAATCTGTCCCTGTCTGTGAAATATGCTCAAGCCTCTGACATACTGAAACTCCCTTCCTAGAACTTCTTTGTTCCTCAATCAACCACCTCATGCTTTTGTACGTGAGCTTCTAGTTTTTCATTTTGCAGTCATTTTTTTTTTTCCTCCAGCAGTCACCAAGCTTTTTCGTCCTTCACACCACTGAAACTGTTTGGACAAATATCACCAAGGACAATCCGATGGATCAGTATGATTTCCTCTCAGACCTTATGCCTTGAGCCACTTGTAGCATTGCAAATTCGTGAGAACCCCATCCATCCTGGATCCTTTCATCCATCCATCCCTCAGATTTTCTCAGGGTTTCCTCTTCATTTTCCTCTTCTCCTAGTTCTACGTATTTTTCCTGGGAGAAATTGTTGACTTCATGGTTTTCACTAACAATATGCTCCTACCTTGTAGGTCAGTACCTCCCGTTCTCCATCTCAACCGTAGCCCTATGTTTCCCACCCTCATTGGACACATGAATGACTCATAGGCATCTCTAACTCCACACATTCATACTCAAATTCATTGTCTTCTCTCCTAAGGCCCAGCCTATGCCATTGTCCAGAGGAGAAATCTAGGAGGCATTCTCAATTCTCTCCAACCATTGGCCACCCACATTCAATTTGTCCCTAATTTCAAAGATACTTTGGAATCCTCACTGTCCCCTTCTTCCTCCATATCCCATGGGCTTGATTTAGAGCCTCTGTATCTTTTGCATTCAATCTTTCCTTCTACTACAGACCTCCAACAGCTATCTTGATTTCAACGTCTCTGAACACTTTACCCTACCCTGGATGCCCAAATAATCTTTTTACACTAAGGAGCAGAGTCTAACTTACATTTCTGAAATGGATTTCTTATGTTGTAGAAAATGCCATCTGCGTTCAACTTACAGCATATGCAGGCTCCCAGCCAATTATGCTACATAACTGAATATTCAGTGCATGGAGCCCTGAGGCTGTCAGGTTGCAATGAGCTTTGTTGCATTATCAGGGCTCAAATAAGCTCCTTTGGGTCCCTGGTTTGTTGGTCTGTGACTTCCTCCCTCTGCTCCTTTGTGGAAGTATTATGCAGATTATAAAAATAGACTAATGCTTGAATTGCATTCGGGGAACTCTTGCCTTGTTCCGTGCAATGAGATTCGTAAAAGGAAAATTCCCATTCTCTCACCCAAAGCAAAATGGAACCCCACAGTGAGCTGCAAAAAGCAGGCCTAATTCCCGGCAGCAGCCTTTCCCAGCACCCTCCACTCAGCTCACGTGGAGAGAATGGATCTGATTGCAGGTTCACTGGGCTCATTGTTAAAGATAATTTAGACTTAACAAAGGTAGATTTCTAAAATGTTTCTGTCTCATTGTTGCATTTTCCTTTCAGATAAGAAATCCAAGCATCATCCTGCATTCCTTAGATCTTTCTTCATTTCTCCAGTCATAGCCCAAATGAAGATATTAACCACACCATTTCTTGGGCTACTGTAAAACCGGTCCACTTCTGATATTGCTAGGAATGCTCCTCTTTCCAAAGCTATTCAGTCGGTTTCTCAGCCAGGCTGTCAATTGTTAGTCAGTTAACAAGCATTCATTGGGCAACAGCTGTGCATTGGCTACTGTGCTAGGCAGGCCCTGAGATGGAGGGAGAGGGGTGTGGTAGAAACTAAACCTGAGCCCCATGAAAGGTCTATACCTCAGTGGTGACTATAGGCACCCCTACTGGGAGAAAAGTCCTTCTCTTTGGGTGGGCAATTCCTCATCTTTCAATATCTGAGTCAAATGTCACAGATACAGTTGTTGGCTGCTCCTCTAGCATGTTGCATATAGGATGACTGGATTGAACTATATGTCCTCTGTTATGCCCAGGCTGTGACCTCATTGAGAATCGAGGCTGCCAAATACTGAGATTTTGGTGTGTAGGGATTGGCATATCAGAGATGGCTCAAATATTTTTTGTCGAATCAAGTACCAGGAAGAACACAGCTTGATTCTAAACTGAGTGCCAAGCAGTGTGCCATTCGAGTGAAGGGGGCTCCTTTCTAGCTTGAATGCTTTTTCTCCAACCCCAGCCACTCTTTGCCATTTCATGGGTAATTTTTCCTTCACCAACTCCCAGTGCATCTTTAACTTTGGACAACTGCTCTTGTTTTGCCTTCCTAAACAGTGCAGGGCTTCTCAGATGACTTGGGAATCTCAGCACATTGCACATTCTGAGAGAGGGGGTTTGAAAGTAGGGCCTGGGATTCTGTGTATCTAACAAACTCTCAGAGGAAAGCCCATGCTTCTGATCAAGAACCACATCTTCTGCTCATGCAAGTCACAATCACCACATGCTGATGTGTAGAGATGCCCAGGACCAAGCTACCTGACCCAGGAAAACAGTGATGGTTAAAATCTAACCATGCTCAGCAATGCCTTCTCCCATTTCCCCTCATTTTCCATTCTTTGCAAAAAGTTTTGTAAGCTGTATGTCCCCTCAAGACTGCATTTATCTGAAGCAAGCATTTTTTTTTTCTAATGTACACAAACACGCCAGAAGTGATACCTAAGTTCACCTCAGCATTTATCTTTTGCTCCTGTCTGACAGATGGCTCATCTTAATTATTCTACTACATCTATGACTTGATTCTGCTCTGTCTCCTCTATGCATGCCTCTCCATTTGCTGCTAGGCGAGAAGCAACAGGAGGTAACAGAACAGCACACTCCTCGTCATAAACTTGGTAGCTCTAGTTCAGACTGCTGCTGTTCTGTTAGCTAACTTCACAATTTCAGGCACGGTACATAAACCCTCTGAGCCTTGATTTCCTCATTTATCAAATAAGGATTGGTAAAATCTACTTTCCTGACTTCTCTAGCTTATTGAATGCATGTAAATGATAACCTCGAGAAAACCCTCTGGAAAGTGTGAGGTTCTATACAAACATTAAGGATTATTACCAAAGGGTTAGGCAGCATATCTTTCAATCCTTCAGTAATTCTCCCCAACTCAGAAGCATAGTGGCCTCTACATGGTGGCCCTAAAGCTTATGACTTGTGTTGGCCGATGGCAACACCTTCTGAATCCTTTCTAACAAAGACCAGCCTACCTCAGTGAATAATGCCATAAAACAACTTTTGTGCGAGTTGTACCTCTGCTCCATAGCTGGCACAGTCAGCAAGAAGATAGCATCAATAATGCCATCACAGTGGTTTAGTGTGGACCAGGCAACATCGAAATGCCAAACTGAAGACAGCAAATTCCAAATGGATGGTGTCAAAAGACATCTTTCACTGATATTTTTTTTTTCTGATTGGGAGGGTTGGCTCACCTGTTTATATGCTAAAAAGAACCCCCTTATTTTGATTTCTGAATACTTTCTCTCTTAGTAGTCAAACTTATTATGGAATAAAACATTTTGATAATTGCTTTTTAATATGATGAAAGGTTGGAACCTTTCCCAATGACAAGGAAATGAGGGAATATAATGGAATGATGTCTTGTAATTTTTATAACTTCCAAATAGCAAATGAGAGTCGTTCATTTATTCACTGAAGTTTCCTTCCAGAATCACAGAATTACTCCTACACAGCAATTAGAAGGGGAAGATGAATGTTTAAGCATTAGCTGTAACTTGTCTTTCTGGGGAGGAGGGGACTGGGTTTAAAGCTGTTGGCAATGAGAAAAGTTCATTAACAAATATAAATTTTTATATATTACTTCTATATATTCTGAAAAGATTTTCTAGATTGAGAAAATAAACCATTACTGTAATTTACAAAGATTTTCTTTTTAAAAGGAGCTGGGGAAAAATAGTCTACATTTTGTATTTTAAGCATCAGTCTTTAATTTTAAAATATGGTTCTTCTGGTGGAGAGGTTTTGTGTCTATCACTTTTCAAAGTCCATGGCTAGGATGCCTGGGAGATGGCTCAGTGGTACAGGCACCTGCCTGGCAAGCATGAGATCCTAAGTTTGATTCTCGGCACAAAAACAAAAACAAAACAAAGTTCATGGCTAGGCTTTTCAGCAGTAGGAACACAAAGCTGATAATGTCATAGGCTTCTTTCCTTTATAAGCATCTCAGCTTCCCTTCACCCCAAGGTCACAGCCAACTCTGTCAATGTGTGTCATGGCTCACAAGGGGCACTGTCTGAAAGAGCAGCTTCTTTATGGGCAGGGCCTAGTCCATTCATGCTTCTCTTTTTCCGATAGAGTTGCTGATTTTCTGATTTTTCTTACCTTTCCTTTAAT